CAATTATTATATTAAAAAATTGGTCAATATGCTGAAAAAGAAAAATAACACGCGTATTTTTAAACCAGCCAACCATGAATCAACACCTCATCATCTTCCTCGTTGTTCCTGCAAAAAACACAAACAAATGGCGGGGGGTTTTAACCCCCACAATATGCCATGAGGAAAAATAGCGATTAGAGCTATGGTTTATATAAATGTTTCGCGAGGGTTCCTTCTTGTTCGTCTTGGCTCAACGAATTCAGTCATGGGTTTTATGAGTCTTAATTTTTCCTGGATTGCAAAGCCCCAATTTCAAAACTTATGAACCCTAGAAATCGTCCATGGCATTTTGTGATTCAATGCGTTATAATTCAATTAAATGATTCCATGAGCTTGGTATGACCTCTGGCAATGCAACACAATAAATAAAACATGTTAATTATGCATGAATTCAATAATATGATTTTGGAAAAAAAGGTCAAACCGTGGTTCTGTATCCTGTGATTCTTTGAGCTTTAGCGTGTGAATTCAATTGCCACACGTTCCTGGGAACTCCTGCAAGGTGTTGGAATCAATAAAAACCTTTGAATCGTTCTAGAATGCCAAAGTCAGTTTTGAATTTTCTTGGAAATTTTTCAATATGCTATGGCTTTTGTGCAGCTTTCTTTTCACGTGTTTTCCATCAGGGTAGCTTGCATATATATAGAGGAATGGAATTAGGTCAAAATCTTGAGCAAAAATCCATTGAATTGATGATTGAATATTTGATTGAAAATCAAATCTTTTTGCATTTTCATGATTGAATAAAGTTGCCAATTTTGGAAATTTTTGCATCTTTGATTTGTACACGAAATTGCCAGCATATCTTGACCATATTTGCTTCACAAAAAGATTGAAAAACCAAATCTTGTATTTTCCTACAATTTAAATTAATTAAATGAATTAATATCAATTAAAAATCCAATTAATTAATAAAAATAAGAAAATAAATTCAATTAAGCTTGATGGGTCGTGCATAGGCCATGGATGAAGTTTCAAGAAGAGATTTGAGGCCCATTAGCAAAAATAAGGTATTTTGAGCAAAGTTGACTTTTGCAAATTCATGAAAATTTCCCAACTTCTCCAATGCATATCTTGCTCAATTTTGATCATATGAACATGTTCTTGGACATTTTGGAAAGGTCTTGAAGTCTTCTAACCAATGTACTTGGTCCCATGTCATTTGGATTTACCAATCTCAAATTATGGCCTTTGACTTAAAGTGCATTTTTGTTGACTTTTGAATTTGACCTATAATGTAGAAATTGATAACTTCTTGTGAGAGAATTTCTTGGACTTGGAGTGAGAAGATGGATTGTAGGAAATGGAATCCCCTTCAAAATGAGCATTGGATGGGATTTTTCTGACAAACCATGAAAAAGTTATGCCCTGGTCAAGATACAGTTGACTTTTCTACTGTCCAAAAATAGTAACTTTTTGCATCTTGATGATTTTTGAGCCATTCTTGTGGAATCATGATCAAGACTTGATCAAATGATGATTTTGAGCTCAAAATAAGATGTTGACCAAAAATTCTGACTTTTGGCTGTAAAATGACCATTTTGCCCTTGCAGTTGACTATAGGTCAAATGAGGCTTTTGACTGTACAAATTGGCACTGTGAGTCTTGAAACTTGGCATGTAGGTGCTTGAGGATGTATATATGCCTATGAGACTTGATTGAAGCATTGAGAACCTCAAATTCCTTGAAAGAACCAAAACCCTAATTTCAGCTGGCTTAGGAGGTAGTTTGACTGTCTACCTTTGAGCAAACTTGAGCCATTTGAAGATGATTCTTAACAAATCTTGAAGAATATGGGAGGGAAAATTTTGGGGTACAACACCCGGCCTCAAAATAGGTGCGACTTCTATATAAGTCCACTTACGATTGCTTAACATAGCGATAAATTTTGTCCCGATTCTTATAAATGATCATTTGTGGCCAAAAACTATGTTTACAAGCCCAAGTATGTTAATTTGATCTCTTTGATCCAATAACCTTAAGATTAATTATGTGGAGACTTTGGTCCTACCAATCCTCTAATGGATCTACAACAGTTTTGGTCACCGCGGATCACTTAAATATCGTTGATCATTAAATGGTACTTTTGAGGATTCCAAATGGATGATATACTTGACAAAAAGCAAATGCAACTTATAGTGTGGAGGCTTTGGTTCTACCAATTCTCTAATAAGTTCCAAATGCAAGTTTCAAGATGGTCATCCAACTAACCACTAATTATTAAATTGTTTTTACTTTATGCCCTTTTATTTTTTATGCTTTATGTACCATTTACTTTAAGCATTACATTTTATGTCATTTTTATTTTGCTCACTTGAGCCTTTTCTTTTCTCTTCTAAGACACCTAATAATCAACATGAACCATGAAAAACTTTAATGATACTTGGACTACTTGGTTACTATCCTTGGCATTATGGAGCATTGGACTTCTTGGACTTAGGATTAGAAGCCTTGGCCTATGTTGGAGACCTTGTGACCTTGATAGATATTTTGTCTGGAAGTTCTTGAGGTTTACCTCAAGACATTGGGTTGTTTGTTTGTTTGTATGCAGGTTATTGTGATTACATCCTTTGTTTGTAATCTGGAATTCACCCGTATACAACCGTTACTCTGCCCAATTTTTGTGAAGACTTAATACAGTTGAAGTTTGGTTCTCACAAGAGGTCTAGTATCTTTGTTTGCTTGGTTTCAATCCAAAGAATGATAATTCTATCTTGACTCATAATGTCAAGTATTGGCTTCTTGTTGGTTAGATGGTTCTTATCCCTAATTTTTACCTTATGCTTTAGGATAGCCTCTTCTTCTCCTCCCATCTTCTTAAATTTCAAAAAATATTCTCCCTCCTTTTGAAAACTCTTCTTATTTTTAAAATTGAACTACTTTCGTAATAAACTTGGACTTAGGTCCATGCATTTTCAAAACATCTTTCACAAATAAACTTCAATCAATATTAATAAAACTTTGACATTTTTTTGTGAAAAGACTAAAAATCAATCAATCTCATTCAAACCATTTTGCCATCTTGGCTTTCATCTTAAACTTTTCTCAAAAGATTCGACTATTGTCAATCTTTGTAGTGATGCAAACAACTATACTTCTACGATATGTAGTTAAGTGAGATATTTTCCACTTGGGTGTTGAGTGAGGCATTGTTGATTTTAAAATCCAATCCATATCCTCCACTTTGATATGATGCAAATTCTCCTTTCTCGTGATTGTGGGTAGTAAGTATGTTTTTCCACACGGACAATGACGATGATGTCTTATCTCTTAAAATCAACCAACACACCTGTGTTTTAAAAAATCTTTAAAAGAGGAACTACGTGTATCCTGATCCCCTATTGCACGAAAAGGTGGTACGTAGGCACTAAAGGTTCACAACCACGGCGGATGCAAAAACCATAAAAATATATTTCTTTTCTCACCTCCACCATCCATTTTTATACAACATTTTATAGCCAAAATATACAGATTTTACAAAGAGGTTCATGCGGAGTACCGTAGATGTTTAGGGTGCTAATACATTCCCTTTGCATAACCAACCACTTACCTAGAATCTTTTCCCCTCTTTTTGGGTTATTTTCTCTTTTCACATTCCTTTGAAAACAATAAAGTACGATGACGATTTTTATTTTGATTTGTACAAGTCTAGTCAATCCAATGGCTTAGTCTTAAACATTTCTACTGCTACAATAGTGGTAGCATCAAAATTAATATGAAAGGCAGTCGCAACAACCATATCAACTCAACAACAATCATATCAAAATCTTCAACAATCATATCAAAATCAGCAACAACCATCTTAACCATACAAGAACGAGCCCCAACAAAGACCTAAATAAAGTATAATAGTGTGCCTCAACAATAACGTCAGCCAATGGAATCTTCCCAATTGAAGGATGACTTAAGCTATTTCATGCATATAACATGAGACAACCTCACAAATAATAAGTTTGTACAAGTAACTTCTAACAAGAATAATGAATCATCAATCATGAAGTTAGAAACACAAGTCGTCAAATATCTAAATAGTTTGCAGTTATATCTGCCAACAACTATGAAGATAATACAATGAATAATTTCAAGAAGAATAAAAGATCATATTATATAGTCATTTATGATGCTAACATTAGATGATAAGTCATCTATAGTCATTTATGGGATACTGGAATATGATAAGTCACCTATTGCACTAGAGTGAAGCTTCTGATGTAGTGTTTATGGTTTTCCAACGAACATCGAAAGTATCTAAAAGTATCTGATAATTGACAGCATAAAATTTTACAAAGGTAAACTGAATATATGCAATTGTGTTATGCATTTTCTTGGTCAAGTTGAAAAGTTTATCAGCAATTAAAGTAAAGATCTAAAATCGATGTTAAACATTACTGATGCCATAATTTAATAACTCGGTATAGTTGGTCTGGTGGAAAGAGTGAGCTTCCACATCCTTGGAGTCAGGGGTTTGATCCCCTCAGATGTTAATAAATTTTGTTTTTTTTTCTAAATTTAAACAATTAAATTTATAACTTTCTAACTAAAAAAAAACTTGAAATATTTAAATATTGAATTGACAATAACACATAAATAAAAATAGCCCTAACTCATTAAAAAATACCTTAAAGAAACGGAAATTAAAAAAATTAAAATAGATCAAAATAAAAAAAAATTAAATTGGTGGATCAAAATTACAATTAAATATATTATTATTATTTTAAAATTAGGTTTGTATTCCTTCACACTTTTTTTTTTAATTTTAAAATATATTTCAAACTATTTAATTAAAATTCATAATTAATTTTGAAGTGTGACAGTAAATTTAAATTAAAATTGGAATTATTTTGTTAGGTTAAATTTGTTAACTTAGAACTTTTCTACTATCTTCTCTCTGTCATATAGAGTTAAGAGCTAACTCAACACAAGACCACAAACCTTTCCAATCTCAATTGGAAATTTCCATGGCAAATCCAAAACTATGCCTCTTCACCTTCTTCTTCGTTTCGCTATGCCTCTTCACCTTCGTTCACTCCGATTCTCACTTCGAAGGCTTCGAAGCTGAAGACGACGATGCCGAATTCGAAGAATCATCCATCGATCCAGCTTCACTCCGATCACCTCCCTCTCAATCTCTCTCCACCGATCCCAATCCCAACCCTAACCCTAACCCTAACCCTAATCCTTCTCCACCTTCAGATCTTCCCAAATCTACTCTTCCCTCAGCCACAACCTTCGATTTCTGGGACGACGATGAGTTCGAAGGTCTTCCCACTGAACAACAACACCCTGACCTCCATGTCCCAACCACCGATCCCAAATCCACTGATAGTAACAACAACACCACTTCCTCTAACGACAACGTTAAGCCTCCTCCACGTTCCTTCACTGTTGAAATCATCTGCGGGAGTTTTCTGATTACGTTCGCGATCAATTACTTCACGGGCAAAAAGGAGAACGAGAACATAGCTCTTTCATGGGCTTCACAGTTCGCTGCTAAAGATTCGATTTTCGAGAAGAATTTCAGTCTTTTGGGGATCGGTGATGGCGGTGATGACACTCCTTTGTTGTTGAAAGAAGGGCAGACGACTTTCAAGTTTTATGCTAGTGGGAGAAGGTATTGTCAAGGGCTGTTGGCGACGTTGGAGTTGAAGAGTCGACACGATCTCATTGCGAGGATTTATAATCTGGTGGTTCCTGCTAAGGATGAGATTACTTTTGAGGTTTATATGAATGATGATGCTATGGATCATGTGGTTTTTGCTATGGCGAGGAAGAAGGCTGCGAAAGCTATGCATAAGGATTTTAGGGATTTGCAGAGGTTTGCTACTATTATGACTCCTCCTACGTCAAGGAAGTGGGTTACTGATGATCTTGCGGTTATTTCTGAGTCCAGGGAAGTTGCTTCTGATTTGATCACTGATGCTCTCATTGACCAGGTTCAGTTTCCATTCTAATCTTTGTTTTGATTATGCTATGATTCTTGCCGAAAGAGGGAAGGAGTGAAAAAGAGGATTAAATTGATGGATCTATCTATTTTGCTCACTTGCGCTAGTTGTTTGGATGATATTGTTGTTAAGGCTCTACTTTGTTGTCATACTTAGTATCACTAACAATGATAGTTATTCGTCCAGCGATTTAAAGAGGTATATTATGGCATTTTAGTGAAGTACTTATTTAATAAGCTCTAATGTTGTATAAGAGCTTCCTAATTATAAGCAAAAATGGGTCAGATCATGTCATAAGTGCTTGAATTATAAGTTGAAAATGCACACTAAGAAGCTATTTGTGTTCCCAACATCTCCTTTTGTTGTAAAAATAGAATTTGGGGTGGATGGAAATTGAAGAGGGGTAAGGGTAAAATCTAGAGGATATGGCCATCACAAGGAGGGAGCAATTGTGGTTAGATCATACACTATCCTTCTTGACTCTCAAACATCTCTTTTTGTTGTAAAAATAGGATTTGGTGTGGATGGAAATTGAAGAGGGGTAAGGGTAAGTTCCAGGGGAACTGTTTCTATATGCTATCACGAGGAGGGAGCCTATTGTGGATAGATCATACATTATCCTTCCCCACCCTCCCAAACACTTACAATAGTTGTTATGTAATAAGACAAGCTCATATAAGCTCCTCTTGACACCCTCCATATATGGTTGTTTCTTTTATATAACTTTGGTATCCTACTTCATTGTTCTAATTTTTTATTCCACTGGTAGTGTTTGTTTGTTACACTCTCTCTTTATTTTAGATCTTTGAACTAGACATGCACAAATGTTTCAATATGTCATTCATTACTTACTATTGGCTTCATTTAGCACACTCGCTCATAGATCCTTCCCCACCCTCCCAAACACTTACAATAGTTGTTATGTAACAAGACAAGCTCATTCATATAAGCTCCTCTTGACACCCTCCATATATGGTTGTTTCTTTTATATAACTTTGGTATCCTACTTCATTGTTCTAATTTTTTATTCCACTGGTAGTGTTTGTTTGTTACACTTTCTCTTTATTTTAGATCTTTGAACTAGACATGCACAAATGTTTCAATATGTTATTCATTACTACTGGCTTCATTTAGCGCACTCGCTCATATTCAAGGTTACGTGAAGTTTCAAGTTTGTTATGGAAAGTGTCTTGGATGACTGGCATAGTTCTTATTTATTGGAATTAAAGTTTGTTCTTGGACTCAAAATCAGCTATTTTTTATATACTGCAGGTTTTTGGTGACAAGGCTTTTGAGAAATTTGGAAAAGGATTAATTTCAGTGCATTTCTCCGACAATCACCCTGGCATCCACAAGAAAGTGCTGCTGTTCAAGTTTGTTCTTCCAGCTGCTAAAAATATGGCTGATATGACTCGACTGGTGGCTCTTGTTCCATATTACATTGACCTGATTGGAAGATATAAATTGAGTTCTCAGGTGGGTTATATTGATCTATCGTATTACCAATGTATGCTTAGCTTAAGTTATTTTGAACATCTTTTGCTTGGTCCTTTACTAACTGGTGTGCATAATATATAATCCAGGCTCGGTCTAAGACAGAGACTGCACGGCAAAAGGTTGCTCAAGAGGTACAGAAAGAACTTCGAAATATCCAACAAGAGGCCATGCAAAGAAGAAAGGCAGAGAGGAAAAAGATGTTGGAGGAGGCTGAGGCAAAGCTCGGTGCTGAGGCCATTCGAAAGAGAGAAGCAAAAGAACGTGCTCGCCAAATGAAAAAGTCAATGCCAAGGATGAAAATGTCCCGTGGTGCCTAATTCCTGATGATTTGTGAGTAGAATTGAAAGGCATCTCCACCCAGTGTACGTTGTCATTGGGTCCTTGTCTTTTGTAGAATTATGGCAATGTATTTTGTTAGTTTGCATTTCCTCTCAAGTTAGCTAGATAGATGTGACCACATTTTGGTGGATTTGAATATACCAAAATTTGGATCTTAGAAACATTCATAAGCTCCTGATAACTTTAATTTACTTATCCTTAGTTTCTAGTTGAATGTTGTTTTGTTTCCCTTTTTCTTTGTCAACATGCTGAAAGTGCATGGAGTGACAACTGCCTAAGTTTAAGCATCAACATAATTGCCGATGTTGATTGCAGAAATTATAAAATAAATAGATTGCAAGTATCTGAATCTTGTTAGAATTTTAAAAAAGTACACAAAATAAACTGAAAAAAGTAAATTTGAACCAAATAGTCCTTTGCTTTCTTTCTTTGATTACACACTAAAATAACTACTCCAATTCAATTTGGACTATCCCCAGGTACAATATAGCAGCTGTCATATGCTAAAATACCTTATTTTAAAACAATTTTGTAATTCCAAAATGGCTGCTGTCATGCACAAAATAGCTGTTGTTGTCATGTGGTTTTGAAGAAAAACATGCTCAACAAGCATTGATGTTGTTGTCATGTCATGTCATGTTTTAAAAAACATGCTTTGATCGTGTAGAAAATGATATTGACTCTTATAAAAATACTTTCACACAAATTTTGTACCATATGTGAGTTAGTAAAGTTATGTCAATCCCAAGAAAATCCTTATATTGAAACCCTTAACAAATCTATCATCAATTTCTCCATCATCAACAAAGCATCTTCTGCAGAACAGTTCTTTCCTTCTCCTGCAAAACCAAAATCATCCAAATACAGAACAATCACTTTCACTAATCACAAACAACTTGTGTGGACAAACTCTTCACACAATTGTTTTGTTAAAAAAGAAATCCACGTGTCGTGCCAGGATTGGCCAAAACAATACAATTAATATTAATACACATGTATCTATATAGTTTTTTTTTGTTGTTGCTTTTATTAAATAAAAGAAAGAATTGGAAGAGGTGAGAAGAAAACATACTATAAAAGTGTGGTGCTTGATCTTTTCTATTAGTGTGCTGGTTTAGAGGACAAGTGGAAATAGGAAGCACAGGTAGATTTTGGCAATTGCATATTTCAATCATATAGCCATCTGGATCATGAAAGAAGACTTGATCAACTTTAATTCCACCTTCTTCCACAATTCCTTTCACATATTCAATCTTCATTGCATCAAGCTTCTTCATTATAATTTTCATGTCTGAGCACTGAAACGAAATATGATTTTCTTTTGGGTTGATCTCTCCTCTTTTCACTGGAACTTTATCTGACTCTAGTAGGTGAATGCCAATGCCATAATTGAATAACCTATTCAATATATCCATATTATTACCAACGGAAAAGCTAACTCAACATACACTTATATACTACAAACGCGTTTAATTAAGTTGTTTATTCAAACATGTCGTGTAAAAGAGTAGTTAAAAAGTTACCAAGCTCCTTGAAATTTGAAAGAAGACGGCCTCTTAATAAGGACAAATCCGAGGGCATTTTCATAGAATTTCACAGATTCTTGCACACTCCTACAAACAAAAGAGACGTGGTTCATTGAAAGCAGAGATAGAGGCATTACTAACTCTCCAGCATTGCCCATCTCTCTCTGTTGTTTTCTCTTTCACACAACACTCAATATGCTAGATGAAAATATTATACTACTACAATGTGTTTGAGTGTGTAATCATGCAGCTGAAGAAGCAATACCAAAGTGAGGTTATAAGAAGGTACAAGTTATGGTTTAGAGTGTTCAAGATATGTTGATTTTGACATATAAATGCAGAAAGAAAAAAAAAGGATAATATGTTCATACTTCATATACAAACATGATAATCATCAATTTTATTACCCAACAACTTTCACTCTTTGTTGGTTGTATCATGGCCTACGTGCTTCTTTCATAAAAAACGTAGAGTACGGTATATCTCATGGGGTGCGTTTGGTTCAAGGATTCGAAATGGATTCTCAGAAATAAGTTATTCGGGAATAAAAATAAAGAAGTTTGATTCCTGAGTATTTTAAAGAAAATGTGTTTGATATATTATTTTATATTTTTAGAAAAATTAATAGTTATATTTTTTTATAAAAAAATCATGTGAAATTTTATGGGAATGAACATTCCCACCTTTTTATATGAGAATAAAATCATTAAAATTATAGAAGTTATTTTATTTATTGGAACCTTTATTTTTAGAAATATTTTTTTCAAATTCTTAACAAATATGGCTATAATCATTTTTTAAAGATTATTTTTGAGAATTTAATTCTTAAACTTGAAACAAACACTCCGTAGAAATAAGTGGTATAATCGAATATAATTTTTTCTTTTTTTTTTAATGCAAAATTTATTATGTGTTATCAAATTAATGCAATCTTACAAAACTTTGAATATTAAAAATTCTTTTCAGTATTAAAAATTATTATAATCACATTATCATAACATATTTCATCTATTCTTGACACATATTTCATTCTCTAACCTTTTAAAAGATTTTTTTTGTAAGCTCTAACATTTTAAAAGATGACTCTCATTTGATTTGTTCGATAACAGTATTTTGATAGCATTTTGTCAAATTAGGGATGATAAATATGGGCATGTCTGCTCTATTTAGGTTCGTTTTGCAAAAGTCTGTAAAAAAAAATAGAGTAGGATGGAGCGAACATAGTTGAATATCTAAAACTTAGGCACGTCCTATAAAAATAAATGTGGGATTGAAAAAACTTGCAGACATTGCATCTTATAAGTTTAAAAATACAAAATTTTATATTAATTTTCGTATCTAAAAAAATCTGCAAAGAAAACAGGATGAGACAAAAATATTAGAGAGTGACGATCTAAATTCTTGACCCTCTCCACACTAAAATGTAGATAAAACGAGAATGATTAACAGACCAAACCCATTTTATCACTCTTTTATCCAACTATTTTTAAAAATAATTCTAATATCATCTTAAAATTTAAGTTTGACCTAATTCAAACATTTAAAATATTATTAGACGATATCTCATCTAATATATGAATCATGGATATATTTCTCACAAAAATTTAATTTGTATACCGTGTGATAGAATCATCAATTCATTACATTGGATTATATATATATATATATATATATATATATATATATATATATATATATATATATATATATATATATATATATATATATATATATATATATATATATATATATATATATATATATATATATATATATATATATATATATATATATATATATATATATATATATATATATATATATATATATATATATATATATATATATATATATATATATATATATATATATATATATATATATATATATATATATAAATTGTCATGGTAAAAGACAAAACTTGTCTTATAGTTAGCTTGCCACACAAAATATTAGTTATTTCATGGAGTAAGTAAGTAAGTAACTAATTTAATCTTAACAAATTTCTCTCCTAAACTGAACATTACTGATCAAAACACACACAGTAATTTGGTTCATTACAACAACCAAGAAAATTAATCTAAACTAGGAAAATAACACATGCCAAGTTTCTCTTTTATTTTACAAAATCTCTAAGAAAGTAGTGTCTCGCATCGATGTGTTTACATCTATCATGCATAATTGAATTTTTTGACAGCTTGATTGAGGAGTTCTTGTCACAGAAAGTTATAGTCTTATTCTCTTGAGATTGAGCAAGTTGGTGAAGAATTCTTCTAAGACAAATTTCATGGCATGCATGGGAAGCCGAAGCAACAAACTCAACTTCTGTGGTGAAAATATTCAATAGGGTTAGCTTCATTGATGCCCAAGATATAAATCTTAATCTAAACATGAATATTGTTTACGCTAAGAACATTAGTTGAATAACTCCTCTGATGTATGTTATAAAGAGGCACAATATAAGATTTCTCTGCTCAACTCAATATGTTCTTTTGTTTGAAGTGTATCCATATTTATATTGATTTCTTTTACCTGATGTGAGATCAGGGCTATGAATGCGATTTAATCTTCATGATAGACCATAATAATTAAATTTCGATCATATTCCATTTAGAAGACATGTTTGGACATGATGGCGTCATGTGATAAATGCCCATAAAGGTGTATCTTAGGTATAGGCCCTTTATGCTTGTTGAGGGATCAAGCCCAACTCATACCTAAACTCGGATCATTACCCTTGCACTTACCCGTCAATTCCAAGATGTATACAGTCTCCTAAGCATGAGGCTTGAAGAGACAAAGTGCTTAAGAATAAAACTGCCAGGCTAATTTAACTATGTTAGCCTCCCAAGCTCCTAATTAGGTTCCCGCCAATTCCAAGATGTACACAATTCCATAAGCACGAGATCTAAAGGGATGAAGTGCTTAAGAATAAAGTTGTCGGGCTGATCCAACTACGTTATCTGGCCAATCACGCCAAAATATACACAATCCCCCAATCATAAGGCCTGAATGGATGAAATGCTTAAGGGAGACGTCGTCCGAGACAATATAATCGTGTTACTTCATTCCAACTATGAATACGGTCGTCGTGAATCATGATTCTCTAATTTGTCATGATATTACACATAGTCATCTATTGTTAACTTTTCCACCATAAAGTTCCACCCTATTCTAAGGAAATCACAAACTCCGTGGTTATTTGGATATGTTCTCCGATCCTTCTTCCCTTCTCACCAAGAATAACTTAGGTATGAAGTTAAGGTTTGTCGCAAAATCCTATGTTTAGCTTTTCGCACATGTGGCGCTCATAGACGACATGTCGATTCTAATGAGATATGTGTTCGTCATTGGACCCTTGGATTTTCGTTCCTCGCGAGTTGCCTCAATGTCTCACGATTATTTTTATTGGGACTCGTAACTTGCTAGTTGTCATCATTGCTCCCTAATACTAGGTTTTTATCCTTACATCTATGAGACTTTTGGGGCCCCAAAAATCTTTCTTAAATTGCAGCTTCTCCTTTTTCAGTCCCCTAACTTTTTTAGAAAAGTGTCCAGCCCATACCTCTTTATACGCTTATAAGCTTCAAAAATATTTTCCTTTAAGATATTATCTTTCCATTCTCTAACCAGGCATAATGATCACTTTCCTTTTCACATATTCTATTTCAATTATTCTGATTCACGAGGTAGTGTCTAGACGCATTGTGGAAACACTACGAGGAAGCGTCTAGACGCGGGTACCGACAAAACATACCAAGAATATGTGGAAAGAGAGGTTTATGGCATTGTATTTGATAGTTCTTCTATGAAGAGTAAAAATGTCTTGTTGTCTTCTTTCTCAGGTTAAATTGAGATTATCATGGAGCTTTCTGCCGACTCTTATAATGATGAGGTTTCATGTTACGACTAAGTTTTCCTCAATGATCCATGAGTGACAAACTTTGAGATCAGGATTTGTACAATACCTATTATAAGGCCGATATTTTTTTGGAGCCTTGTGCCATGAGAGGGACAATTTATATGTTCTAGAGTACCCAACGAGTACTTTTTACTTCTGTTCACGATGTTATTAAATACTTTTAAAGAGATATGTCGAGGCCTCAATATCACGCCTACCGCTAGCATATTTTTTATTTTTATGAGTCTAAAGGGGCGTATAAAGGAGGTTGAATTTCAGCAAATAGTATGCATGGGCGGGCCACCCTCTTCCCCTATACGTCAAACTATAAAGGTTGGAAGGATAAATTCCTCCAGGTAAGAGGAAATGCCCAGTGCCCGGAGGTAATATATGAGGAAGATGTGACATGCCAATTCCTTATTTATTAGACCAGTGATCCCACTTTGATCATGGGATATGATATGCAAAAATTAAGGGCCACCGAACGAGAGGCGATTGATTTCTTGAAACGATTTCAAACCATGTGGGTGCGTGTCTTATTCAAGTATGAAGGCGATCTAGATAACTTTGTCAAATTTCATGGTAGAGTGACTTCTATGCGACCTTTACCTTTAACTTTGGCTATATCTGACTCATAATTTCCTTTCCCTTTTGTTTGTGCAGATAAAATGACTAACATAAAATTGATCGAGAAGAAAGCCTCAGCTACCTAAAGCTAAAGCCCATCGCGGAGAGATCCATCCCGTGCATCACAACGACCCTGCTAGGGTTTAGAACCAGGTTGTCCAAAAGAGAAAGAATGCAGAGGGTGTCATGGTGAAAGTTGTCCTTGTTACCAACCAAACCGTCCTCGAGACCTCTAAATCACCCTTGCAAAGAAACAAGAGAGAGGCTGAAAAATCTATTATTGGTGACTCGACTCCGATCCATATTGATTAGTAGGCTAGTGGACCGCTGAGAGGATTAAGAGGGAAAATAGATGCCCCTCCTAAAGGTGGTAAGGAGTTTAAGTTTTAAGATCAGAACTTTGATGGTCTGGGCTACTTGTACGACCACCATCTTGCTACTGAAGACGTCAAGAATACCAAGACTATGTGCACCCAAAATCTTCTTCAGCATCTAGGCACCTCCCTTATAAGGGGTTGCATTCTGAGTCGGGCCTTGTTCGAGGAGGCCGACTTGGATTAAATAACGGCTAAGGTCATAATGGTAAACATGATAAGTTTTATTTGAAGTATAATGGTATTAATGATGACTTATACATAAGGTAATCTTAGTAAACTATTACATATTTTCACGTAGTTGATAAACGTCAAAAGGTTTAGCCCTGACCACACGTGATATGACATAACACGATATCATAAACATTAGATGAAATCATGAAATTGATTGTTCTCCAGCATCTTTACAACTTTTGACTCAAACTCACTATTACGTTATACTTCCTCAGTCCCAAATTATAAAACGCTTTATCATTTTCACACGAATTAAGAAATGTAATTATTACTTTATGGGAAAGTGAAATAATGTATGACTTTAAAAAATGTCCTTCAATAATTATATTGGAAAACAAAATTAAAAGAATAGAAAGAAGAAAGAGAAATAAAAGATAGAGAGTATATTAGACAAAAAAAGAAGTCATTAATGATGTATTGAGATTTTAAAATGACTTATAACTTAGGACAAATATTTTTGGCAAAGTGACATGTAATTTAGGACAGAGGGAGTACTATTATGTACTCTTTTTGCATGATATCCAATATTATTTTTTTAGTTCATTAATTACTTTATAGATTCAAATGATATATGAAATATTTAAATACAATTCTCATGGGATTAATATCTTTCTAATCATTATTACTTACTGATTTAACTATGTATACTTGTACATATTTTTCCCAAAACACATTTTTGGTGCCGTTATCGAAAATTGTATGATTAAACTTTCATTTATTTATTTGATCGAGTGAGATAATTCATTAAAGAATTGAATATGTTGTGTGATCTTTATTGAAATGACATGTAACATCAAGTTGATTTCTGATTAATACAAAGAAGACTCTGAGCCAAAAAGAAGATTCATAAACATTAGAATATTTGAATGTGAGCAGTATTTGTATCGAAAAGCCACTGTTTGAAGAAGAATTAGAAGATCGGGAAGTAGAAGAAAGAGTCATGCTAGACCAAGATGGCATTGACATTTCCAATAATAAGGCAAGGATTATGATGGACTATGCCAAGAAAATCCTCATATTGAAATCCAAAACAAATCTATCATCAATTTCTCCATGACCAACAAAGACTCTTGTGCAGAACAATTGTTTCCTTCTCCTGCAAATACAGAAGAATCAGTTATAATAATCATGCCTGGATTGGACAAAACAATAGAAATAACACAAGAGGGATATATACCATAAATGGGCGGTGCTTGGTTTAGAGGACAATTGGAAATAGGAAGCACTGGTAGATTTTGGCAGTTGCATATTTCAATCATATAGCCATCTGGATCATGAAAGAAGACTTGATCAACTTCAATTCCACCTTCTTCCACAACTGCTGTCACATATTCAATCTTCATTCTATCAAGCTTCTTCATTATAATCTTCATGTCTGAGCACTGAAACGAAATATGATTTTCTTTCGGGTTTATCTCTCCTCTTCTCACTGGAACTTTATCTGACTCTAGCAGGTGAATTCCAATGCCATAGTTGAATAACCTATTCAGTATATCCACAGTATTATTAACCCAACAACTATCAAAAGAAACATATAAAAGAGTAGCTAAAAAAAGTTACCAAGCTCCTTCAAATTTGAATGAAGATGGCCTCTTAATAAGGACAAATCCAAGGATATTTTCATAGAATTTCACAGATTCTTGCACACTCCTACAAACAAAAGAGACATGGTTCATTGAATGTAGAGGTAGAGGCATTACTACTTTTGATGACACTGTTTCTACATTCACTATCTCTCCAACATACCCCATCTCTCTTATTTTCTTTCACTCAACACTCAAAATGCCAAACAAAAATATTATGCTACTAGTACCATGTGTGTGACTGATTATGCCGCTGAAGAAAGTAACACCAGAGTCAGGTCATTTAAAGCCACATGCTATGGTCTGTGTATTCAAACTATGTTGTTTTATACACTTTACAGATCATATCAATATTATTAACCGACAACTTTGTGGTTGTATAATGGGTCTACCTGTTACCAAAAACGTGGAACATGATATAGATACATTGAAAACTTTAACAATATTACTTAATTTCTCGATAGATATTTCTTTTAGATGGGATCTGTCTTTAGTCCAAATATCATACAAAGTCCAATCCAACATATTGCAAGAGAAAATCAACTGGAGAAAATTTTCTCTTGACCATGTCGGACAGTAATTTCACTCCTCTCGTCGACCAAGATATGTCTTTCAGGGACAACCTCATCACATGACTGGTGAGGAGGACCGAGGTCCTCGTGAGCACCCTCCTCGTACGGCAGATACCCAACGCCCCCGAATATCATAGAGTTCTCTTGATCTCGAAAAGGTCACATCCACGTCCTCCTGATAATTCGGAGGAGTGCATTCAGGTTAGAGACCACGTGCTAGTCTCCACTACACATGTAGGACCTGACCGTCTCTATTTTGGGCCTGCCTGATCAGCCCAACAATGGGGATCTTGGCCCAACATTGGAGGATATAAATACCCTCTCACTTGAGAGTGTCAGATATTCATTCATTCACCCGTACTCTCACACTTACTTGCACTTACTCTGAACCTTACTTTGGCATTGAAGTGTCTTGCAGGTACCCCCCATTTCATATTCAACCATTGCTCGACTTAAAGCTCGCAGACCTTGACAATCCCTTCTGATCGGGTACGATCAATGTCGCCGTTTTTGGGAATCCAGCTTCCCCATCTTCCATTCAAGACCAAAGCAACTCTTTATCAACCTTCCGATTGTCATGGCCGATCAAGCTGTCAACGATAACCAAAACGTCCATTTCACAGACGCCAACAACAACAACATTAGAGACAACAACGCGGGAAACAACAACGACGTGGTCGGTCCCGAGCAAGACCACAGGGACAGACTGAACGCCTCTTCACCCACCCGCTCGCAACCACGCGACGACGATTATCATCCTCCGTAGAATTATGAGCCTAATATATATATCAGGAGATCCCCGTTTTTGAAGGTGATGACGCCACAATCAGAGCTTTGTTCGCGACAACCAATCAGACCAATTACATGGTCTTCTCACAGGTGAGCAATTGATGATGCTCAAGAAGACCCGTCGGGCCCGAAGAAAGCACAAGAGACCCGACTCTCGAACTCCTCCTCCCCGACAGAACAAGGACCGCTCCCGATCTCCCCCGTGGAGACGCAGACGAGACGATTCTCGAAGGCCTACTCATGGGAGGATCTCATTCCTAAAGGAATGGAGAAGCCTCCCTTACTGAAGGTGTACGATGACATTGCCGACCCTGTCGACCACATCAATGGGTTTAAAGTGATGCTCCACTACCATAATATTGAGGGCCCAATTAAATGCAGGTTGTTCCCCATGATGCTGAGAAAAACATCCATCAATTGGTATAAGAACGTCTCCCCTGGGTCCATGACCTCATGGAGGAGCCTCAAAAACCAATTCATCAGCAACTTCACTACATCTCATCGACATCTAAAGACTAAGGCCGCCCTCGAGGAAATCGTCCAGAGAAGCGACAAGACCCTCAAATAGTATATTGATTGGTTCAACCGCGAGGCCATTCAGGTCCCATGCACCGACCACATGAAGAGATACCTCCTCGAGAGAGGACTCCTATCGACCATTGAATTTAGAAAGGTCGTCGGCATTGAACATCCCGGGTCTTTTGACCCACACCTCGAAAAATCCAGGATATACATGGACTACGAGGAAAAAGAGGCAACCAATAGAGCCTGCGATTCGAGGAACCACAGACCAACTAGTATCCCATGACACCACGACGCGGGCCCTTCTCGAAAGACTGGGGAGAAGAAAAGGGATGAGAAACCTCACGATCCCCGCGAGCATAGATGATAGGTCGGACTATTCACCGAGTACACCCGTTGACCGCTTCCCGCGAGCGTATCCTTACGGAGTGCTCCAATGTCGAGTTCAAGAACGACGATGTCAGGCGTCCTCGACCCGTCCTTGCAAAGTTCGAGGCCGACATAAAAAAATATTGCCAAAACCACCGGAGCCACGGTCACCTGACCGAAGACTGCATCCACCTGAAGGATGCCATTGAGACTCTCATCAAGGCAGAGAGACTCGGGTAGTACAGGCGAAATGACGCCTCTCATTTGGATACCCACGAGGCTAAAGAAATCGAGGAGAATACCCGACCATCCGATGAATTTGGTCCCCTCCAGGTAGCCTTTTGTGTCTCAAGGCCCGAGGACTTCCATATCCCCGAAAACTTTGAAGATGAGAAGTCTTTGTTCACCCATATCAGATGGGAGAAATTCCCCTCCGCCATGGTCATATCTGGCGGGGGATTCAACAAAATCTCAGTAAATTCAACAAAGAGGAAACTCAACGAGCTAGTAGGTGCAACCCCAATCCAGAATGTGACCCTTGAAAGATTCAAGGGAAAATATGAGCCAATCATTTTCTCCCTCGAGGAGCTGCCCGGCGGAGCCCTAAACTCAAATATTCCTTTGTTAGTGAGGGAAAATATGACCAACTTTAATGTACATCGTATCCTGGTCGACGAGGGGAGTTCTGTCGACGTCATGTACATCCACCTATTATGCACCCTGCAGCTCGACGATACCCACCTGTCACTATACGTGGGGACCAGCCTACAAGGTTTTAACGGTTTAACCTCGGGGCTACGTCGAGCTCTTTGTCACATTCGGGGAAGAAATTGCACCCCGACAAGTCAAAGTATGGTTTCAAGTGATCGATTTCCCGTCTCTCTACAACTGCATTCTGGGGAGACCAACACTAGCCGAGCTGACCGTCGTCCCCTCCATGATGCATTTAAAGATGAAGTTCTACACCAAGAGGGCTCACGTCGCCACCATCCAAGGAGACATTTCAACTTCCAGGAGATGTTTCAAAGAGACTTCCAAAGGGTAAAACATGGTCGACACAGGGGCAAAACCTACTAAAAGAGAAACCACCTCGACAACAACAACTATCTATGCGGACAAACTTGCTCGAGTCGAAGAACAACAGGCTTCACCAAAGGTCGACTCTATTGCATTCGACACCCGCTTTGACAAAGATGAAGTCGAATCCCCAATGGCGAACAGGATCCTCTCCGACCCATACCAGAAGCAGACTTTGAGTTCATCCCCCTCGGAGAAGATCCAAAGCAAGGCGTGAAGAACGGTGTCGAACTCCCCGACCTAGCAAGGAAATAACTCAAAGTATGCTTGAGGGAGAATGCTAACCTGTTCGTATGGAGTGCTGTAGAGATGCCCGGACTCAATCCCGAGGTCGCCTGTCACCAAATTGTTATGGATCCAGCCGTTAGGGCAATAGTACAACGTAGGCGCAGGCAGTCTTCTAAAAAGGCGAAGGCTGCTGAAGAAGTTGCAAAAGACCTCCTAGAGGCAAATTTTATTTCTGAAGCTTGATATTTAACATGGCTATAAAATGTTGTACTTGTTAAGAGAAATAATGGGAAATGGCGTATGTGTGTTGCCTATATTGATCTCAATCGGGTATGTCCCAAAGATGCTTTTCCCTTACCTAACATCGACACGCTGGTCGACAACTCGGATGACTACAAAATTTTATCATTTATGGACACCTACTTGGGCTATAATTAAATTCCCATGGAAATGAGCGAAAAAAACTACACCGACTTTATGACCGGTTCGGGCAATTACTACTACAACATAATGCCTTTCGGCCTAAAAAATGCAGGAGCAACATACCAGCAGATGATGAACAAAGTCTTCTGCAGGGATACCGGGGACATGCTCGAGGTATACACGGACGACATGATCGTCAAATCTCGATCCGAAACCGACCATGCTGCCCACCTCAAAAGAGTTTTCGCCCTAGCAAGACAATGCAAAATGCGATTCAACTCGGAGAAGTGCACCTACAGAGTCAAGGCGGAAAAATTCCTCAGTTTTTATCTGACCGAACAAGGAATTAAGGCCAAACCTGATAAATATCGAGCATTCTTCAAGCTCCACACTCCAAGCTCGAAAAAATCCATACAAGTCTTGAACGACAATGCTCACCTCGCTTTCCCATTTCGTGGTGTATTCCACGCAGCACGCACTCTCGTTTTTCAAACTCTTGCGTAAAGATGCGGCTTTCGAGTATACTGAGGAGTGCGAGCAAGCCCTCCTCCACCTCAAGCGAAGCCTTTCACAATCGCCCGTATTACCATAACCAGAGAGTGGGGAAACTTTGTTCCTTTATCTGGTCATCTCCACTGAGGCAGTAAGCGCAACCCTCATTCGCGAGACACCAGACGGGCAAAAACCAGTGTACTTTACTAGCAATACGTTACAAGGCCCCGAGGTCAGATATCAACAAATTGAAAAAGTAGCCTTAGCCCTCATCAGCGCGGCGAGGAGACTCTGATATTACTTCTTGGCCACAAAGTCGTCGTACAAACAGACCAACTCGTGAGGCATCTCCTAGGTCGACCAGACATGGCCGGTCGAATGCTGAAATGGTCCCTAGAGCTTTTGGAGTTTGACGTTCAGTACGAGAGTAGGAAACCCGTAAATCCTAAGCATTGGCCGACTTAGTTACGAAGATGACCACCCACGAACCCCCTGCAGGTGGGAAACACAAGTGGACCATCTTTGTAGACGGATCTTCCAACTCGACTGGAAACGGAGCAGAAATCCTCCTCGAAAACAAAGAGGCCATCGTGATCAAACATTCGCTTGCCCTGTCGTTTCCCACGTTGAACAACCAGGATAAATACGAGGCCATGTTCACAGGATTAAGGCTGGCTGAAGACCTAGGTGCCCGTG